GTGCGTGTGCGGGCATCGCGTGAGTAATCAGCGCATTGGCTCTTGATCATCCTGTCCCAGTCCAATGCCAATGCCAACTGCCATGGCAGCTAGCTGCTGGCTGCTGACTGCTGTTGTGTCAATAAGCTGCAACATGTTGTTGCTGCTTGCCGCAGCCCAGCTGCAACGGCCACTCAAACTCAAACCTGTTGTTGCATGCAACCTGAAGCTAGCACAAAAATTATCGCATGCGAGAGAGCACAAAATGTTTAATTAAAGGGGTAAACAGCCACCCCCAGCATGAGAGAGACCAACAGGGAGAGAGAGTGAGAAAGAGAGCACAAGGGAGAAAGACAGAGAGAGAGAGAAAATTAAGGTGACCAGATGGCATTTTAAATTGGTAACGGTTAAAAGCTTTTTCAAAATTACAGTGTGACCTGGTTGCAAGGGAAAATTATCTTATGTAGACTACATTGCCATGTTGTAGTTTTTATTAACTAATTTGTTCTGATTATTAAACCAACATCTAATTGTTTTGGTACCAAAAAGCGCGTATTCAGTTTTAAAGCTCTTAAATGAAAAGTTTCGTCTGAATGTTCTACAAATACAAATCAATTTTTAAGAATTATATCAAATAGAAATATAATACATACAATTATTTACTGAGTTTCCATATAAAGAAGCATATCCTCTGCTCAACGAATGTAGAAATCAACTATGTTTACTGAGGCTATTTTTAAGAGCTCTGCTTATTAATTGCTTGAAATGGTCACCCCAAACATTGCCTATGCATGGCAAATGGAATCTGCACTTTTAAAACAACGTGCGACTAGTTTAATATAGATTTCTTGAACTTTACATACTCTTAACTCAAATTCAAATATTTATTGGTTTATTGTAAAATTACTAAAATGTTTATGATATCCTATAGAAAAGTCAAATATTGATATAAAAACAGTTCCTTAGCTTTTTTGCTTTTTTAAGTATATCTAAGGTACTCATATCGAATCTTCACTGTAGCTTAAGTCCAATGGTCACCCCGATTGCGGCATTGCGTGCTGTTCCATTCATATGCCCTGTGGGAATAAAAGCAACCCCTAGGCCCAGTCACTGGGCTACTTCCTCAACCTCATCCTCACCCTCCCCCCTGACAGTGCCTCACGCTCTTTGTGCTGGGCCTTAAGAGCAGGGCATAACAATAATATTATTGCATGCGATGTTAAATCTTATTGACCGTTATGCGGGCGCAGTGGCCTCTCTCCCTCTGCGCCTCTCTCCCACACGCTCTCTCGCACTCGCTCTGTTTGCAAGCTTCCGCATAATGTTTAAGAGACCTAATTTCGCTTGCTCTTGTTGAAATACATGGCCCTCTCTCTCTCCCGCTCTCCCGCTCGCTCACTCTCTCTCTCCCTCTCTCTTTCTGTTGCTCTCTGGATGCAGCTTCGCTCAGTTAATAGCGGCAATTGTGAAGCTTTCTCAACTTGAGCTCCTGGCCGCAAGTGCGGTTGCAATCAACTCGCTTGCTCTTGTTTCTCTTGTTTTTGTTGTTGTTATTAGCCTCAAGTGGCGTGCACACACACGCACACACACACACATACGCACACATGCAGCAGCAACGTTGCTGCTCCAGTAGCCGTCCCCCAAGCCGCCCAACCCCCCGCCAGACCACAACGCAACCCGCTATCCACACTCACGCGACGCAGCTGACGCTGGCCGGTCTCCGTCTCCATTGCCGTCGCCGTCTCCTTCACCTTCTCCTTCTGCTGCCTCCTGCTGCCCCACTGTGCACGCTCTCGCTCTCTCCCTCTCTCTCTCGCACTCTCTTGCTTAGTGTGGGTCTGTTCCAATAAGAAACCATCGTCAGTGCCCGGCTCTGCCTGGTCGGCCAGTTTCGCATCGCATTTAGTTGGGTTCACAACAAAAAACCGCAGCCGCGAGTCGAGAGTCTAGAGTCGGGGAATCGAGAATCAAGAATCGAATGCGAATATGAATGCGTCGCCGTCGCCGTTGCCGTCGCGTATATTCGTATCATTTAACACTCTAACCAAATACCGCGTGCCCCGTTTTTAATTAATTTATAACATTAACGAGTCTAATAAGAGCATTCAACAATCCAATTAGATTGTGTGGCTCATCAAAGTCTATGCAAATTCAGTTTATGAGAAAAATTAAATTGAAGAAAAACAAAAACAATCTTTAGAATTGTATGTATTGCTGGCATGTGTGTGTGTTTATGTAGTGGTGTGTGTGTGTGTGTGTGTGTGTGTGTGTGTGTGTGTGTTTAACACCTTGCTGACCAGACTTCTGGGTAATGAGTAGACTAGATGTAAACCGCTAGTTTGTGGGCGTTTGTGGAAGAAGGTGGGACAACTACGCCCCTTTTCTTGTGCAATGTGCAAGTAAAACGTTCGTATTCATATCCTACTTAAGTACACTTGAGCCTTTTAAGCCGTTTAGACGGACACACTCAAGGAATAGATGAAAGTGAATCCCTTTTCAGGGGCTTTTTTCCCTGTGATTTGACGGGATCTTCAAAGCAATGAATCATGCAATGCATAAGAATACAGTAAAGCCTGGCTAACAAAGAAAACGACATGTTCTGTTTAGCCTCACACAAAGCTGTTACAGATGCAGAGCCTGAGTTTTAAGCCTCAGCGAGTTTTAGCCTAGTTGTGAAGAAAATACGATTTAGAAAACAACAAAATATTTTTATTAATATTTTGTTTATATTAAATACCCTGGAAACTGTTAGAGAGCTGTTTGGATATAACATATCAAATGTTAATAAACTATTCAAGTAATATATATATCAAGTTTATTCAAGTAGATGAATATTATATTTGAAACCAAGTACAAAGAGCAGCCTTATAAACACAGCCTGTTCAATAAAACAGTCCTAACTTAATGAGTTTTTGACTCAACATTAATGGAACAAATAAAAAAAATTTAATTTATAAAATTAACAAACATGTACGTGAACAATGCACTTTGTTATTGTTTATGTTCCTCCTTTTTTTCCATTACAAAACATTCTCACGAGCTCATTGTCATTTGTTATAACTATATGCTACAGATATACATATGCATATTAAATTTAAGCTAAAAAAGCTTTCAAGCCATATAGCTCATTAAAATAGTTATGCGTATCAAATAACTCTCAAAAGTTTTTGTTGTTGGCTTTTTTGAATACTTTTAAAGCCAACGAACTTCTGTACTAGCTCCCATCCAACTTTATATAAACACATAAAACAAAACTTTAAAAAAAAATTTAAATTTAAATAGAGAAAATTAGACAAAGAACATATTTCATGCATATTAATAAACTCTTAATATCTATAAATTTATAAAAAACTCTTAAATCTCTTCAAAACATATTAATTAAAAGTTATTTTTTAGCTCAAATACCCTTTAAAATATCATCCAGCTTTTATATCAGCTAGCTGGCTGCTAGCTGCTAGTTAAGATCAGCTTAGACTCCGCTTAAAACTAGCTAACAATTTTGAAACTAAGCACAAGCGGGCTGAGCTTTAAGCTCTCTAGCCTCGCTCTCTGGCAAAGGACACACGTGCTAGGCCAGAGCAAAAACTCTCTTCAGAGCTCACAGCTGAGACGCAACTGATGCGCAGCAGCAGAGCTTTCTATCTCTTTTGCTGTCTATGCTCGCTCACTCTCTCTCTCACTCTGTCTCTCTCTCTTACTCTCTGGCACACACTCTCTCGCTGTTTGGCTCTCTCGAGCGCAGCGCAGTGTTTCCATATAATTTTTGACACTTGTGACATTTTTGACACACAAATCAATTGTTACGTGAATTTTCAGCGCGTCGTGCAGCAGCAACAGCAGCAGCAGCAGCAACAGCAGCAGCGACGGGTAAATGGCTGAGCATAAAAACTAAATCAAATACAATTTTTTTAAGTTAATTTAATTTATTTGAACAAAAAAATTGTCTTTAAAATTGCTGCTGTGCAGTGTTGCAAAAGAGTTCACGAAAATTAAACGGGCCACAAAACGTAATCGTTGCCTACTTTCGAGCGCTGCGTGTGTGACATAATTTCGGTGTGCGTGTGTGTGTGTGTGTACATTTTGCCTAATACAGTTTAAACAGGTTTTGACTTGACCTAAGCACAAAAATTGTTATTAACAAATACGTTTGCTGCGCCTGCCTGCTTGGGGCAGCAGAACCTTTGCCTGGCCGCTGCCTGTGTCGCTTTTCTGCTGTTTGCTCTATGCACACTCACACACACACAAACACACACATATGCTCATATGAACGCTTGGTGCAAATCGATTTCTGTTTCCGGCATTTTTCACGTGGTTGGCGGCCCCCCTCCCAGCACTTTGCTAACCGCTGGGCCGTTTGTCCATTCGTCTGTTTAGTTACGCCCAAGCTTCCGCCGCCCACCCATTACCCCCCATCCCATCTACCAAATCGTTTTAACATTCGTGCACTTTTGGCATTTGTTGTTGTTCAGCCTAACGATTTTTCCCCAAGACAACACAAACAACAACAACAACAACAGCAAAGTCAGGCGAAACATTTGAACAGAGCTCGTTGAATCGCTGAAAATGTCTGAAAGTAACAGTTGGAAGCACATTTGGCGAAAAGTTGATCGAAATCAACGTTTGATTTCCGGCCTTTGGCCCAGTATTTGATTATTTCGGCCAAGACTTCTACGTTGGCAGTTCAGTCGAAGTCCGACAGCGGCTGGTGCCACGTGGTGTATGCTTAATAAAGAAAATATATATAATAATAATAGAAAATTTCTCCAACTTTACAGTTGCACACACTTGAAGCCTTTTACTTTTTAATAATTAATTAAAGACTGTGTAAACGATATCAACATGAAAATAGAAAACGCAACACACAAGGAAAATCGCTATCAATAAATCAATTTAAAATAAATATATGTACTTACAAAATAAATGCATAATTATTTAGAAAAGTGCTAAACATAATAATCGTAAATTGATAAATAAATAAATAAAGTGCTTAACAAAAGGTGTTCAAAATTCTAAAATATTGTATTAAATATAACAAAAAAAATGATATAATGCCTAATTATAAACTTAATTTATTAAATTAAATCAATAAATTATAAGCAAATCATATCGAATGCAATGAACAATAATTCCACGAATCAATTAAATCGCCAGCCAAATCTCCATTCATTGAAAGCCAATTAATTAGTAAACGCTACGAAAATTCTTGTTACGTTAAACAAATGTTTGCTTGGATTGAATATAACAAAAGAGCGTAGCCGAAATACGAATGCAAATTAGATGCAAAATAAATGGGTAAAATGAGGTCAAGTAAATACGATGTAAGTATTCAAGAATTATATACATATATACCATATATTCATGACAAACATATCATAATTATGCATAAATACTTGTTTTGCGCAAACAATTAAGTCACAAACTTTTAATATTAAATAGGTAGCTTTAACTAAAGATTTAATGTGAATTTTTTTACTAATTAGCAATTTTAATGTGCCTAAAGATTAAAATCTATATATTGCGAGAAAGTTGGGCTTAGATATAAGCACGATGTTTGGCTTATACATGTATTTGCCCAAGATATCAAGATAAATTATATGTTTATTCATAGCCTGAGATTTTTAAACTAGTTTAGGTTTAGCTCAAAGTAAATATTGGTCTAAGTAATGGGAATACCCTTTGCCCAGCTCGGTAGAAGAAATGTTATTTTGGCAGCTGTATTTTCAGAGGCTTCATTCGCTCGGATTTTATAGGAAAATTGGGAAATATTCATAAAATATGTACGTATTGTTTTTATACCAAGCTATTCAACAACAAAAGGTTCACATTAATATTTATATATTAAACTGTTTGATTAATTGAATGACTGTCTGCTAATTATATCTGAAAATTTGTAATTAATTCAAATCAAAAATAGAGTTTTTTATGGGGCATATCCATGAAAATAATTCGTATATAGTTTATATATAATTTTTAAAACTATTATATAAAATAAACTAAATATAATTTATTAATTTAATACATAATAAATGTTATATATATAATTTATATAATTATTATTTAAAATATTTTACATTGAATTACTAAAATTAATAAAGCTCCAAAATTAGTATATTATTATAGGTGATTCTTAGAATTTGTATATATAATAATATATAATTTCATTAATTAATTTATAAAATTACATAAGCAAAACGAATGATAAAATTTAATGTGTAAAAGACTGCCCCTTTTTTATATTTTTCCCTATTAATTGCCTGTAATATATCTATACCATTTTTTATCTAAAAATTCCCTTTATTATATATTTTCTTACATCTTATGTTATTTTTTTATTTATTTTTAATAAATATATTTTTCCTTTTTTCAACCCTTTTATATTTTTTTTTTTGGTTTCCTTTTCAAATATTATATTTATGTCAAACTATATTGGTGCAAAATGTAAATAATAAGTAGAATGCATAAAAATTTATTCTTTTTAAAAATTTCTAGAGTGTATTCGTGTATCGTATATGTATACTTATTCTACAGTCATTTCTTAAAAAAGTTTCAATTGCCGACTGTATCCCTTCTTAACTTTGAAATGGCAATAAATTTGATGGCTTTCAAGTTGTTGCTGTCAATCTTTCACTTGGTTCAGTTGAAGGTTATACGTATTATACGTATCTAGGGGGCATGACACAGACAGCTTGTAGAGGGCGAGAGGGAGAGAGCCGAAAATGTACATAATCACTTAACTCATGGCCCACATTTTCCGTGATTATCCGCGGCAAAAATGCAAAAAGCCAAGTCAAGTGCACATAAATTAAAACAAAGATCGAAAAGTGCAGGCCCCAATCGAAAAGCCTCGACGTTGCCCGGTTGCCTGGTTTGCCTGGCTTGCCCTTAATCTTGAATTACAAATCGAGTGCAATTATCTGACGGCTGCAATGAGTTTCCTGTGCAACCGCCGCCCCCTTCAACGCCCGGCGTTGCCCGTCTACGGCTTTGCAATTTGTTTTCACACTTTACGATTCGCATGGCCCGGAGCCGAGCCAATCAATGTTTATTTCTGTTTTTCTCTCGATAAGCGCCACATGCACAGATCTAGGCCCTGGTCAGAACTGGGCCCAGGTCCAGGCCCAGACCCAGGGGCTGCATTGCGTGCTTGCAGTCGTTTATCTGCGAGTGGAGCGGCTAATTCACTCGCTCTGAAGCTCTGGAGCTGTTAACCGGGTATTGGCGCTACTGTGCGCGCCTTAAATTTAACATTTAATTGATTTGTCAACACAAATGTCTGTCGCAGTTTCCTGGCTCTCTAAGCGGCTTACCGTGTCGGAATATACAAACTCCTCGGGCACTGGCAAGCGGCTTAAAGCTTTGGCTAAACACACAAGTTATGCTGCATAAATTGTCGACTTTAGTTGGAAAACGAAAGTGGAGTGTGAAGGAAGTGTGGCTGCCACATCAGAAGGCAGCTCAAAGGCCAGCTGACAACTGCGAGTGCCACAATCATCAATCAAACAGCGCCTGCTGCTGCTCTTATTGTTGTTCTTGCTGCTGTTGCCGCCGCGTTGAAGTGGCATGCCACCACAGATACAAAGCAGCATTTGAAAGCGTCCGCTACCAGCAGCATTCACTGCCAACTCAATCAGCAGCAGAAAGCAAAATGTTGCAAGCTCATTGCGCCGCCTGCGCCCTGCCGTGGGCGATCATCAGATCCGGGCACAAGTCCAGGCTCTGGCTTAGGTCCAGCTCCAGCTCTAGCTCAAGCTCCAGGCCAGCCGTCTCCTTAGTTCTGTGTGCGTGTGTGTGGGCGCCAACTTGTGTACGTGCATTGATTGTTGAGCATCGCGTTAGGCCTTGTGCATTTGCAGAAGCAACTAGCACAGTGGTTAGAAACTACCTATTTTTGTATTGAAATACGCTAGATATATGTTAAAGGAGACAATCTACAGGCTGCTCTTCTGCACTTGGCGCAATGGGCATGAAGTGTGGAGTACTCCAGCTAGAACTTCACTTACGGGTATTTGGGTCTTCCTGTAAAACAATTTCTGGTGTGCCTTGATATGAAAGAGACTCACTAACAAAGAGAGAACTCTTTCTTAGCAAAAACAAGCAGATCAAATTGTCAGGCACCCAAGTCTTTAGAACGATTTACATCCTCATAGTCAAGTGTTAGTCATGCCCATCGATTTCGCTTAAATTCCAGAGTTCCTCGACCCACTGTACCAACTCGGTTTGACACTTTATGCAGAATGACATTTTGGCTTCTTGGATTTTGTTTTTAGGTAGCCAGCGGGACCCGCCTGGAATTGAAATTATGTTGTCTCTTGTCTCGGTCGGGTCTCTCAGTCTTGTCACCGTCTTGTCTCAGTAGCTTTGTCTTTTGGCGAACACGCGCGGCGCGCACGTGGGCCGTGCTCGAGCTCGAGCAGGTCGTGTGGGTCTGGCTTTATTAATTGTGTGCGAATGTTTGCACAATTTGTCAATATTATCGCACAAACATGAACATTTGTAAGCCCATGCACCCAAACCAAGGCCCAAGGCAAACCCAAGCCCAAACACAAACGATAACTCGAACCGGCAACTGCCAAACGGCAGCTAAAAACCAGCCAACAGCCGGAGACATTTACATCCCCAGCCGCGTTCCCAAACTGTTTGCCTAAGTGATTTGTGATTTATGAATTCACTCGAATTTGCATGCACATTTAATGCGATGTGGCGCACGGGATTGGGAACGGGGAACGGGAAACGAGGAACGGGAACCGCAGCCCACCTCCCAATCTTTGTCTATGTACGCCTTTGGGGCTTGTCTATTTGCTAATTTTCTGGCATCACACGTCTCCTATGCTTTATGACTTTATAATGCCCTGTTAATTGGGTCAACCAACAACACGACGGAAGGTGACGGAACGCACGGAGACGGAGGGCGACAAACGTTTCAAATGCTTGATAAACGCGTTGTGGCATTGCCTCCTGACATGGCTCATACATATTAATGCCGCTGGGGCTGGGACTGCGACTGCCACAGTCAACAGCCTGGTAGATAGTCAACTGGGTGTTGCACTGTGCTGTTGCCAACTGTCTTAGTGGGTTTTGGGTTACCAACAGCAGCAGCGGCAGCTGGCGGACATTGACAGTCAGCCCACAAGGCGGAGACGAACAAGAAGAGTTGATTTTGATTTGAATTTAATTATGGCATAGTTGCAAGGCCTTTAAGGGTGCTGATTGGTAGATTTACCAAGCTAAGACCTTGCGGGTGTAAGACTTGAACATTATAATTAAAGTCCCAGCTGAGCCAGACACCATGTACCACTGCTAATGGTGCCCGAGTAGGCAGTTTATTTAAGTTCAAGCAGTTAACTTAAAGTAATTTGTTAAAGTAAAACCTTGCATAAGCTTCAATTAACCTTTGCAAGAAAATGCATTAAACATGTAATATCAACCAGGTGCATATCGCGCGCCACGCTAAGCCTGAGCAGGGACCGCATTTCAGGTTAGTTTGTAATTATTTAAAAAAAAAATATAATTGCCACATTAAACATACAATTAAACTGAAATGGTAAATAGCTTAAAATATTTCTCATAATAAATAATTATTGGCAATGTAATTTAATATGGCGCCCGAGCAGGGACTGCAATCAGAAAGTGTATAAACATGGCGGCCGAGCAGGGACTGAGATCAGCAAGTGCGTTAAATTGAAATGATTTATGCAGGAAAAGCTTTCTATGGGAAAGTGAAAAGCCATTACTTTGCATATGTTCAAACTATGCAAATGGATTCCGCTTTAGGATGGCGCCCGAGCAGGGACTTTATATTAATAACGTCAGCTTCAACAGTAATAAAACGAAAATAAACAAATGTTGGAGTTTACTTTTAAATAAGCTTTTCATACACAAGCAAGACATTAACAAATGATTTCACATGGCGCCCGAGCAGGGACTTTACATTAAACAACTTGGCCAGTTCACCTCCATTTGAGCTGCCATTAGCCTGCAACATAAATAAATTGACCAGGGAAAAAAGCAGAAATAATAAATAAATAAAACCGCAGATAATTTTATATGGCGCCCGAGCAGGGACTTGCGTTTAGCTAAACTTGAAGTGCTTGGTGCATAGTCGAACTAACGCTAACATAAACCAATAGACGACTCCATTAGCGAACCACAGCAGCAGCAGCAGCGACAACAACAACAGCAACATGGGCAATAACTTGGGCTGGTTACCGCCGGCGATGATCGACCAACTTTATAGAAAGCGAAAACCCGACAATTTTCACAACTTTGTTGGCTGCTAAGCCGCGAAAGTAAATAATCCAATTATCGCACACACATGCGC